CCTGCCCTTGGCAGGGGGGCGGACTTGATGATCTGCTCAGGTCCCTTCCGACCCTACCAACTATGAAACAATGACAGGGATTGTCAACTAGGAGTATGTATCTGGCTGCTTGCCACCCCTTACCCCTGGCCACTCTCCATCCCCCCCTCCGGGGTACACTTACTAAAAAGGGGGCTGCCGGGGGTACATTTATTAAAAAAGGTTGAAAACCCCTGCAGTAGGAGAGCCAAGAATAGGGCAGGGAGGATGTGGCAGCTCCCCCTCTCCTGCCAACTTTGGCTGTGCCATGTTTGTGCAGTGAACTCTGAGCTCATGGCCTGGTCAGCATGGGCTCCTGCTGGAGCTCTGCATGAGCAATGAGCTCTGAACTCACCAGCTGATTGGGACAGGGTCTAGCTGGAACCTCCGCTTGCTTATGACTCCAGATCCTACAGGATGAATGTTGCTGCTGTTTGACCTTCCTCTCCCTCCCCCTCCCCCTCCTCACTGGATTCAGCAGTAAGAAAACAGGAGAAGACGCACAGCAGCAGTGTTGCTCACCCAGAGCTCTGGAGCTGTGTAAAAGCAGGGGCTGTGCCCCCCCTCCTCCCCCGCCAGAGCTTACCCGTAGCACAGCCAAAGTGCTGTGGGGTGCAGCTATACTATCATACCCCATCTGGAACCACCCCACGTTCACAAAACTGGGTGGAGGGATCAGGAAAAGCTGAACTGGCCTTTTCCCAAATGGACTGTCTCTTTCACTGGACATGTTTGGCATCTCACCGCTCCTTTCTGTATATCAATTTTAATTATCTCACAGATCTTTTCTGTGTACTGTGAGGAAAGAAAATTATTGTACGTGCCCCCAAATAAGATACTTGTCTTGCTTGGGGAAGGCAGAGTGAAGAAAAAAGGATTTTTCCAGAGTCGTGGCTGAATCCTAATGTCTTGGCTCAGCCAAAAATTACTGGCAGTTTGGCAGTGGCTGTGAAAGCATTAAAACAAACTCTGGCACTGCAGACTGCATTCTGCCTCTTGTTCCCTGGTTGGGAAAAAAGGGCAGCCCTGGGCAGTATTTCTGTGCAGCCAGTGTAGCATTCTTATGCTTCTATTCCAGTATGGTAATCAGTTTCCCCCTCTTAAGACATGTACATTGATTTTTTGGAGGGCTGATGTTTGGGAGAAAGGCATATATAGTATGCTAGTAAATATGATCACAGAAATGAGGAGGATAAGAGTACAAGTGTAACAGGCTTCATGAAAAGACCTATAGAATGTAATATTAATGGAGTGAAATTTCTCTAGAAAGAAAGAATTTTCTAGGGAATTCTAACCTTTCCTCCTGGTTGTTTGTTTGTTTGTTTGTTTTTTTGTTTTTTTTTTTGTTTTTTTTTTACTGTCCTGAACAATTCAACAGCAGCAATATAGGCAAATTGGTAATATAGTAATTCTGTAGGCAAAAGCACATATGAAGAATTATATTTTTCAGGAACTTTCTGTAACAAACTGAATTCTCATTATTAAAAAGGTGATGCACTCACTTGATCCATAAGGCTACTCAGCAAATCAGTCCCATTTCAGGAAGATGGTAATCTGTCCGGGGTTGGTTCCCTGAATGCAGCCAGATCTTGGCTGGTATTGGTCACTTGCAATTTTCAGTGAGGTCACTGGGAGTTGTAGGTACTTGATATCTCTTGTAATTTAAAACACAATTTACTGTAGGTCAGCTTCTGAAATTTGTTTGTAGTCTTTATTAAAGTTCTTTTTGAAGCTGGGGTTGTTAGTTGTATTAATCTGAAATCAGACAGAAGATAGGGCAGGGTGGCACGTTACAGACTAACTGGTTCAGAGAGGCATGAGCAACAACCTACTTCATCAAATGCTAGAAACAAACACCATTCTATTTGTTCTGTTTCAGTGACTACTTGTATGTGCAAACTTTGCATTTTTCATTAAGTCCCAGTAATTGTGATTGCATATTTATAAGCAGTATAACTGTAGCTGCACAACTGCAATTCAGTGTCAAATACTTAATTGATATAGTCTTTTTTTCATATGGAAACCATAATCTAATAGTTGCTAGATTATAGCAATGGCTGATGCTTTGTTTGGTAACCAGACTTTGGAACACACAATTACTGTGGGTGGATTTTTAGAACATTTTTTTAACATTTGAAACTTCACATCTCAGTGTGTCAGCTGATCACTTGAAGGGATCAGAAGGAAATTCCCAATATCGGCATCATGAATAGCATTCAAAAAATTGGCTGGTTGCCTCTCTCTCCCTCCCTCTCTCTAGTATAAATTTGCTTTTCTTTTAAATATCCAGCACTTGTCAATGCTCTAGGCAGCATACTGCTGCACTAGATGGACCTAGAGTCTGATCTAGTGTGGCAACTCCTGTCATTTTCAGGTTATGATGTTTTTGATTCTTTTGCTGTAATACTGGTGCATGAATGTGGTATGCAAGTGTATTGTACTTACGAAAACAATATGTTTTGGAAACTTTCTATTACAATATGAAACTGTAAGACAAGAAAATCTGATCTTTAGAGCAGTTCTATAAATGCAATGTTAGGAGATCCTGAAAATCTGAGACTCTCATAAAAAAACTGTATCCACAACTAAGTTGCCTTGTAGAATAGCTAGAAAACAAAAATTGTATCTTTATGATTCTTTTCTTTAATTTAGCATGCCACAGGACCTAAATGCAGAATCTTCTATAGCTACATAACTGGAACTTTAGGCTGCATCAATTGCAGTGGAAAAACTACAATCCTCCTGAAGGACTTTGTTTCATAACACAAGTCTTGATAGTGCCAGTGTTGGGGTTCTCTGAACAATTTGTTGAATTTAGGGTTGTTGATTGTAGCCATGTTGATCTAAGGACATAGGCAGACAAGGTTCTTTGGGTAGATGTGATATCTTTTATTAGACCAACTAAAGAGTTGAAAAAAATTGTTCTTTGCAACCTTTCGGGCACAAACACCCTTCTTCAATTATAGAGAGAGTCTGTTGGTGTTGTGTGTGCTCTCCTGGGTAGAACAGAAGCCACTCTGCAGGTCTGTGAAAATACCTAAATGCCATGCATTTATTTTGTAACTTAAAAAATAACAACAAAAAATTAGTCTTTTATTTTGGATGCGATATACCTTAACTTTAATAAGGTATTCTGTCTCCCATGACATTCTCATTAAGAAGCTAAGGAATACAGACTAGGTGAAAATACTATAGGATGGATGCATAACTGGTTAGACAGCTGTACTCAACAAGTAGTCAATAGTAGCTCAGTGTCTAAGTGGGAGGAGGTAGTGAGTGGGGTTCCCTTGGGGTCTGTCCTAGGTCTGATATTGTTTAATGTCTTCATTAATGTTTTGAACAATTGGATTGAGTGCACGCCTAACAAATTTGTGGATAACACCAAGTTAGGTGGAGTTGCAGACACTTTGGAGGGCAAGGGCTAAGGTCCAGAATGACCTGGATAAATTGGAGAAGTGGTCTGAAAATCAATCAGGTGAAATTTAACAAGGCTAAGTGCAAATTCCTGCACCTGGGATGGAATAATTATATACAAACAGTGGCTGGGCTGCAATACTGCAAAGAAGGATCCTGGAGTTACAGTGGACTATTAACTCAATATAAGCCAACAGTGTTCTCTTGTTGCAAAAAAGCCAAGAGCATCCTGGGTTGTATTAACAGGAATGCCACTTGTAAATCAAGGGACACGATTCTTCTGCTCTGTTTGGCACTGGTGAGGCCTCACTTGGAGTACTGTGTCCAGTTTTGGGCCCCACACTTTAAGAAGGGTGTGGACAGGTTGTGGAGAGAGTGACCAAAAATGATTAGAGGCCTGGAGAACTTGAGTTAAGGAAAGGCTGAAAGAGTTGTTTAGTCTGGAGAAGAGACGGCTGAGGGGGGATTTGATAAGTCTTGAAATACCTGAAGGACAATTCATAAAAAAATATGGACATGACAGGACTAAGAGGGGACAACACTAAGAGCAAGGGCCTCAAACTTCAGTAGAGAAGATTTAGGCTGGACATTTGGAGGAACTTTCTGACCACAAGGGTGGTCAAGCATTGGAACAGGCTACAAAGAGAAGAAATTGTGGAATCTCTATCCCTGGACATTTTCAAGAGCAGGTTGGACAGACACTTTGCTGGAATGGTTTAGCCAAGGATGATCCTGACTTGATCAAGGGTGCTGGAATAGATGACCCTGTGAGGTCCGTATCAGAAGTACTTTCCTATGACCCTATGTGGCAGTGCACTGTGTGTGCCTGCCACTTTAAGGGCTTGGAACTGGCAGCCTCCAGGTGCCTGACGAGGGCAGCCATTTTGAGACATGGGCTGCCTATATAAACAGGGCAGTTTGGCTGCAGGAGGCCAGGCAGCAACATTGCCTGGCCGGACAGCTGCTGGGATCACCCGGAGGTAAGGGGGAGCTGCAAGGGGATGGTTAGGAGGCTCCTGGTCCTGGGCATGACCTGAAACTGCACCCTGCCGGGAGTGGGTGGCCTGGTGGGGCTCTCAGTGGTGCGGGAGCCCCAGGAAATGCCAGGCCAGTTATCACCCCAGTGAAAGGCAGGTCGGGGCGCCTTAACCCCTAGCTCCCACCACCACCGGGTGGGTTACCCATGTGTTAGTTGTAGGGCCTAGAGGGCCAGTGTTGTGAGGGGCCCAGAGAGGGCGGACCCCGAGAGTGGGAGTGATGTGGGCGTGGGGCTGCAGTTGCCCCAAGAGGATGGGGAGTAGTGACACGGTGAGGCCCAGTGACAGAGTGAGCGGCTAGAGAGACCCAGCCCAAAGGGGAGAGTACCCTCGACTGGCCCAAGCTGGGGCCAGGACTACGGTAGTCAGAAGGGCCGGGGGCCCACCGCGAGGGACGCCCAAGAGCCGGGGGCCTGGGGTTCCGACTGGCCTGGAGGTGGGCCAGGGCAAGAGGCCGAAGGTTCCGGGGGAACCACACCCAAGAGGGGAACATGGCTTCGGGGGAGCTAGGTAGCCCGGATGACGGCGGAGTGGCCGCCTGAGAGGAGAGGATCATAGAGGGGTCCTGTACGGATGATTCTGGGGCCCAGTGTGGGGCCGGTGAT